CTAACATCTTGACGAAAAGCTGGAGAATGTTTAAGTGTGTTTCATGATTGACCTAAGCTTGTATATGTGATCTACAAGTTCACGATAATAGTTAATAAAAATCAGGTGTAAGGATAGCTAGGGAGAGGAAAAGGGCTCAATCATGACGGAAAAAGGGAAATTCTATCCTGACAAAGAATGTATTAGGCATAATGGCCAAGTTTGGCACCACAACGAGGGGCTAGAGAGAAGGGACAAAACAGCGTTGAAACAGGTCTGTACTGGGCCGGCCCAGTCAAGTTTAAATGGAGCCCATTCTACGAGGCTCCGGTCACAGCCGCCCATGACCCCTGGGCATCGCTAGCTTGGATGCCTCTGCTCCCCGCTCCCCTCTTCACCAAACAGCGATGCCTCACCCTCCTGGCCGCAGCCGCCTCTGCCGAACGGCTCCGGCTGCTCCACGCCCTCTTCGAGACTTCTGGGATCCTCGAAGGGGACAAGTTCCTCGCCAGCGAGCTCATCCGCGCCTTCGCCCTGTTCCCCTCCAGTGACGGCGCCGACCACGCTCGGCTCCTCCTCAACCGCCTCCCCGGACCCTCCACCGCAGCCTGGAACCACGTCATCAGGGGCTATGCCCGCGGGTGCTGTGTCCTGCGGCGGAGAGACAGCGTGGGGGTCTTTCTCGAGATGCACCGCTGGGGACGGCCGTTGGCGAGGCCCAACGAGCTAACCATCCCCTTCGTCCTCAACGCCGCCGCGGGGCTGGCGGACCTCGAGCTGGGGAGGCAACTCCACGCCGAAGCTCTGAAGGGCGGCGTGGGAGCGGTCGTCTACGTCGGCAATGCGCTGATCCATCTCTACGCCCGCTGCAGTCAGCTTGCAGAGGCCCGGCAGATCTTCGACGAAATGCCTGCGCGAACTGTGGTCTCATGGAACAGCATGTTATCGGCCTACACCGAGCGCTCCTGCCTTGATGAATCTTTGCAGCTCTTCGTCTGGATGAGGCGCGCCCGATTCGAGCCCGACGAGACCACGTTCGTTGTCCTGCTCTCCGCAGCCGCCGAGACCAGCAACTTGGGCCTAGGGAAGTGGGTTCATGGTCGCCTGATCGAGACAGCGGTGGCCATGAATGTGCAGCTCGGGACGGCGCTGGTGGACATGTACGCTAAGTCGGGGGCTATCCGTTCCGCCCGCCGGGTCTTCGAAAGAATCCCGGAAAGGAACGTGTGGACGTGGAGCACCATGATTCTGGGGCTCGCGCAGCATGGGCTAGCCAGCGAAGCCCTCGAGCTCTTTGACAGGATGAAAAGGACCCCCGTGGAGCCCAACTGCGTGACCTTTCTCGGCGTCCTCGCCGCCTGCAGCCACGGGGGCCTGGTGGACGATGGCTACCGCTTCTTCCGTGAGATGACGCGAGAGCACGGTATCCCGGCGAGAATGGCGCACTACAGCGCCATGGTCGACGTTCTTGGCCGCAACGGTCGTTTGGAGGAGGCCTACGCCTTCGTGGAGAGCATGCCCATCGAGCCGGACGCGGTGGTGTGGAGGACATTAGTGAGCGCCTGCAGTATCCACAGCGCCGCCGACTGCGGCGGCGTGGGCAGCCGCGCGCGGCGGAGGCTGCTGGAGCTGGAGCCGGAGAGGATCGGCAACCACGTCATTGTCGCGAACATGTACGCAGAGGCTGGGCTCTGGGAGGCGGCGGCGGAGACGAGGAAGGTGATGAGGGATGGGGGCATGAAGAAGATGCCCGGCGAGAGCTGTATTGCAGTGGGTACCTCGGTGGCGAGATTCGTCTCCGGCGATGACGCCCCCCAAGGCCACGACCAGCTCTGCAGCCTGCTCGCTAGCCTCAGCCTCAACACGAGAACAGAGACCCGGAGCGCCACAGATTGCGTCGACCTGTTTCTCATCGGGTGATCGATCCATTTAATTCAACGAAAGTGAATATTCAGCCCGAATTAGAGTCATACGTGTCCGAACAGTCAAATAGAGACAATGAAGAAGGCAGACATAGCTTCCAGGTTTCGGATGAACAGGGTCTGTCCAGCTGGATACTCGAGTATCTATTTGTTTTTGTTTTATTTATATGATAAAAAAATCTCAATAACAGAGAGTTTATGCAATCATATTTCTTTCCTGAAATCCAAATTATAACATAAAAAACTCATTTTTGAGCCTCACCTTTTACCAGTGCAACTCCAAAAAGTTATGCTGGCAAACAGTGTTTGCATGAATTCTTTAATATTACGGAAAATATATTTAACAAAAACGAAATGGGGTACTAACTTCGGTTTCAAGCAGAGGCACTTTCTCGAGTAAGAAGTCTGGCTTATGATGTGTCTGGGCCAGTTAAGAATACTCAGCGTGCCAAATAACCTTTTTAAGGAAAATCCTCAAGCAAAGGCTCTCCCGGATAGACATTTTCTAAAAATGGAGGATCTCATAGATTTGTAGATTGATTATATTAAATATTTCAGTCGTGAAGTGAGCTGAAATCAGAGGAAACCTGTCTGATGGGACTCGGGAAAGAATTGTTGGGCTCTGTGTCAGGTGCCATATAGCTTACGATGAATGAGGTTGAATGCAGGGGAGATCTCCTGCATGGGTCTCGTCCCTGATGGCCCGGCTGCAGCTGTCCGCCGTCGCGAGGATCTCCAGGGCGAGGGGGTGCGACTTGTCCCCAGCGGCGAAGACATGGAGGCCGCTCTGCAGCTCAATCCAGCTGTAGCCGGCTTGCTTCCGGATGCCCTGCTGCTCCATGGCCTCCCTCACCTCCGCAGCCTCGGCCCATCGCCCCACGCCGGCGTGCATGTTGCAGAGAAGGACGTACGGCGCCGAGCCCGCGGGGTCGACCGCCGCTAGGGCCGCCATCGCTATGCGCGCGAGCTCGTCGTTCCTGTGCACCCGGCAGGCGCCGAGCAGTGCGCCCCAGACGGTCCTGTCGGGCGGCACGGGCATGCCGCCGACTATCCCCATCGCCTCCTCGAGCCGGCCATGCCGGCCGAGGAGGTCCACCAGGGCCGCGTAATGCTCGACTCGTGGGTCAATGCCGTGGTCGCGAGCCATGGAGTCGAAGCACTGTCGGCCTTCCTCCACCAGCCCACCGTGGCAACAGGCGTGGAGAACCGATATGAAGGTGATGTGGGTGGGCCGCACTTCCTCCTCCATCCGCGAGAAAAGTCGGAGGGCCTCCTCGGCATGTCCGTGCTGGGCGTAGCCGCTGATGATGGCGTTCCAGGAGACGACGTCTCTTCGCGTCGTCATCGAGTCGAACGTCCGGCGGGCGTCAGTCAAGCTCCCGCAGCGGGAGTACATTGTGACGAGGGCGTTGTTGATGGGCGTGTCCACCGCCACTCTCTTGGTCACTAGCTGGTGGACCTGGGCGCCCTGGCGGAGGCTCGCAAGGCCCGCGCAGGCACCGAGCGCGGAGGAGAGCGTGTGCCCGTCGGGCGCCACCTCGGAGGCCAGCATGCGGGAGAAAAGACTCATTGCCGCCCTGTACTCTCCCACCCGCTCGTAGCCGGCGATGATGGTGTTCCACGAGATGGCACTCCGGCGGGGCATCCTCTCGAAGCAGCGCTGCGCCCTCTCAACGTCACCGCTCCGGGCGAATCCGGAGATCATCAGATTCCACGTCCTCTCGTCCGGCTCAGGCATCTGCCGCAGCAGAGCCGCTGCCTCATCCAGCTCCTGCGACTGCACGTAGCCGGCGATCATGGTGTTCCAGGAGAATCGGTCCCGCTCGGGCATCTCATCGAACAGCCTCCTTGCCGTGCGGATGCCGCCGGCCTTCACGTAACCCATGATCATAGAATTCCAGGAGACCACATTCCTCTGGAAGCCATTCGCGCTTCCTTTCCCATCACGACACCCCGAGGGGATCATCTCGAACAGGCGTCGGGCGTCGTCGACCCGCCCCACCCGGCCGAAGGCGGCGACGAGGGTGTTGTACGCGTCGACGTCACCTTCATCGGCCTTGAGCAGAAGTCGCTCCGCGGCTTCCAGCATGCCGTTGCGGGCGAGACCGGAGACAACGGCGCTCAGCGTCGCCGAGTCGCGGATGGGCATCTTGCTCCACATCTCCATGGCCCAGTCGACCTCTCCATTTGCCAGGAGCCCCGTCACGACGGCGTTCCAGGAGACCACATTCTTCACAGGCATTTTCTCGAACAGGTGGACTGCGTCTATGATCCGCCCGCAGCGCCCGTACCCGCTGATCATTATGTTCCACGAGAAGGTGTCCCGCTCGGGCATGCGGTCGAAGAGGTGGCGGGCATTCTCGATCTGGCCGGTGAGGGAGTACCCCAGGAGCATGGTGTTCCAGGAGACTACATCCCTGCGGGGCATTCCGTCGAACAGCTCTCTAGCGCGGACAATCTCCCGGTGGTGGACGTTGGCGGCGAGCATAGTGTTCCACGTGACGACATTGCGGCGGCGCAACTCGCCGAAGAGCCGCCAGCCGTGCTGGAGGCCGCGGAGATGGAGGAGCCGCGCGAGGGCGCTGTTCTGCCGCCGGAAGAACGAGTCCACCTCATCGCTGGCGGCCCCCTCGCTGGCGGCGCTGTCGCTGGAGCAGGTTGACACGGTCTGGGCCCGCGAGGATCGTTCGAGGAAGAGGTAGCGCGTGCTTCTCTCTCCTCTTCTCAGCAAGATCATCCTCTGTCTTCTCGTCGCTGGAAGTTCATTCTTAAATAAAAAGTGAAAAAAATAAAATAATAATGGTATAAATCCTGCGGAGTTCATGGGCTGGCAAGTCGCCAGGGCGTGGCCCATATTTCACGGGGTTGGGCTTCAAGCCCAAAAACACCTGCGAGTTCAGGTTCATCCCGGTGGGGCCCACAGTAAAACCATATCGGATCCCATTTTGAACTTTGTTCGAGTCCGGATGGCCGATATTCGTTGATCACATCGTAACGGGTAAGACGAGACTCCGTCCATGACCTATAAACCCTAAACCCATTGTCTCTCTGTCCCTCTCTCTCTCTCTCTCTCTCTCTCTCTCCTGGATAGGTTCCGCCATGGACTACCTGGAGCACGCGAACGATGGCTGGCTGAAGCCGAGGTTGCTTATGGCACTGGTGAGGGAACGCCTCCCGGACGACAGGAGGCCGCTGGGCGACACCTTCCGTTTCTCCTCTGTCCTCTCCCTCGTGCGGGTCCACGGTCTCCTATCCGAGTCCCATTCCCGTGGGGCGCTAGGGAGAGATGACAAGAAACTGGCTGGTGCGTGGACTGTCGCGGTCGATACTTGGGTGGAGCGCTGCCTCTCTCTGTGCCGTAATAAAATGGTAAAGTTTACGTTCCAGAGAGTGGTGGAAGTCGGTACCCTTCAGTGTGCTCAATATTATCGGGATGAAGTTTCTCTCGGTTATATGTCGATTCTATTATTCAAAATATCTCGAGACAATATCCTTGGCACATGCTAATTTATAGCGAATTACATTTTTAACGCGGAGATGATTGGACGCACATTATGTACTACATAGTGAAAATATTGTCGGGCATGATAGTTTCCGACCTTTTGTGAATTCGCCTGATGTTGGCTTTTTTTTCATTTTCCTACTTTGGATATGCTGCAGCCAGACAAGTGTTGGACAGGAATCTCCTTGCTGGGTTTTACCTGTGAGTTGTGTGCCTCTGACCGTTTTCTAGCGTCATACCCCACTTGGTTCGAAGCACTTCTGTCAAATCTTCAGGTTGGCCTTCTATCCCTTCCCAGGTAGTCTCTTCTATGTTCGTTTGAATGTGTTATTGATCTGTTTCAGTCTCCCACATGGATCTTTTGAGCTCTTGAAAGAATGTTCCATACAATACTGGATTGAAAAGTCTAGCTCCATACACAAAAAATTCCTTGTGAGGATCAACCTCCCAAGAAGGAATGTTCTGTAAAAGGCCTTTTGTTTGATAAAAAATGACCTTCAGAACTCCACCTTCTCGTGTTTTCCTATCCCTTACATCGTAGAAGATCTGGCAAATGCTAGAATTAGTCGATTTATTACTTTAAGGAAAGCCATTATTCTCTACCCTGTTCATAGTCCCTGGATAATGGACATGTATGATTATTATGCACTTCCTGAACAAATAGAAGAACACCAGCATCGCATCAATGAAATAGGGTGAGCATCCTTGTTTTATTCATCTGAACAGTTTTTGTTGGTCAATCCTGTAACGACGTCGATGTTTAGGATAAGGAAACTCGAAAACATGTGAATTGTCCTCTGTTTTTCGATCCAAAGTTGTAAGAAAGGTGATTGAAGAGAGGACCACCATAAACAGGGCTAGATGGTCGAAGAGTACAATTTTATTACCCTCCAAAAAGAATTTTAGATATCAGTGAATGATAAGTTTCTATGAATCATTGAGAGCTCTTTACTTTGATTACTTTTTTAAAAAAAAATTCTTACAATGAAGAATAGATGATTGCTACTTTCCTTTTGTGTTCTTTACTCACTCTCTAGTTCTTGCTACTTCGACATTTCATTAAGTTGCTCAGTCAAGAGTTCATATTTTTCTTTTGAAAGAAGATAGAATTATGCTAAAAGAAAATCATAATCCTGCTCTGTTCTATTTCATATATGCTTTACGGTTTTCATCTGTTTAAATTTAATGGACTATTTGAGCGGTAAAGAGAGCAAATCATTCTATTCAGTGACACCCAAAAGCTTTTTTCCATAATTATTTATTTTGGATTCACCATGTATTTTTACTGTCAAACATGACTAATTTTTTAATGTGCTGATAATTTTCGTTTATCCTTGCCTTTTTCCTCTCAAAACAGCCACTGGCAGATTCCCATCTTGTAAAGTTGGCATCTTGTGCATCCATGTCAGACCTTTTCACAAGGTTTGTTTTTAAACATTATATACTTTCTGACGTCCAAGTGGTTTTCTACAACAATTGTGTTGACCAATTTTAATATTCTAGTGTAAAACCAGTCTCCAAGTCATCTATAAGTTGCTCTTGTCATTCTACTAACCTTGTCTTAGTCACATTGATATCATTCTAAAAGTAATCCGTCCTTGCCATTTTTTATAATTTTCTATGTGATTACGTGACAATTAAGACATGAAGAGGATTTACCTTAAATAAATATTTGCTTTTTGAGAAGATTGTCTACTGTACCTGTATTAAATTTCTCTAGATCCAGTTAAGTCTAGCAAAACCGTTGAAGTTTGTGCCATTGTTGCAAGAAGGTAGTTTCATTGATTCTAGCCAGTTTTTCTCCAGCCTTCTTGTCTATTGTGTCAAAGAGATTACTTTATCCTCTGCTTATAGAATGACTAAGGGAGGTAATACATTGATGAACTCTGGAATTCTGGGATTTCCTGAGTGATAAATTGTTGATAAAATGTGTGCTTTTCTAGGTAGAAGTTTAACATTTTTTAACTTCAGCTCTACATGGCTCTATGTGGTAGAAGTCCAATTAGTGGACGCAAACATTTAGATTTATTTTTCGTTTCTAAAGAAACCTTCTCAATTCAGAATTTTGTCTCACCCTATTTAAAGCATACTTATCCAATGGCAATGCAGCGCTCTAAAGATTTTTTGTCGATTAGGTTGTCCACATTTCCAAATGTGAAGAAAGATGCAACATCTCTTGCGAGTAAACTTGTACTGCCAGTTCTTCAATTGATGAGCGAGAATTGTACAGATGCCATATTGGTTAGTGCTTGTTGTCACGTTGGGTTACACTCGTCATCTATTTCCTGTCTCCCAAACGTAGTGTGTGAAAGAATGTACTTCAGTATAATATCCAGAAGTATAGCTCTCTAAAATGTCTTTTTGATAAAATGTTCTAGTGCTTACTGTGCATTTTATGTGAAGGTAGGAGCAGCAGATCTATTAGGCGCCCTCCTGAAGTTCTTCCCATTTTCTCTCCGCCGTCATTATGGAAAGGTAACAAATATCATATTTTATACTCCTAGAATGTAAATTGTAATCCTCTATTAGCAGTGCCTGGAGGTCAATAGTTAGACATTAGTTTTATCTTTTTGTGTTCTTACTTTTTTGATGTGAAACTTTGGGAGATACATGCCATTTAATTCTATCTTTTAGATTTTAATGGATGTATCATTTATCAGTTCTGCTCATTTGTTTCCCTAAGCATATCAAATGCATCATTTGTGGATATTTGCTGAAAATTTATTCCCTGATATTGATCAATAAAGTTTTACTGTTTTCTTTTAGTGTAGATCTTTTTACCAGGTTTTATGCATATCTGAAAGGAAAACTGTCTATTTGCTTAGTTCTTATTGCATGTTTTTGTTGAACATGTGAGAACAGTTGCTTCACTTGTTTGTTCCATTTCTATGACCTTGGTGTGGAGTTGGTTTCCATCTCTTTTTTAGACACTTTCATATCGTCTGTCTCTGCCTGCGTTTTCAATTAATTTTCTGTATCTTTGTGAAATCATTTTGGATGGTTGAAAATAGGTTTCTTGGGTCCTTTTTTGTTCGTCATTTTGTTGATTTGAAGTGGTTACCGTTTACAGTAATATTCAGCTTTCCCATGTTATCATTCCAGTGTCAGTGAGGAAGAATTATTTTGATCATGTCTCTTGCATAGATCCCTATCCTATGCATGATTAACAATCATTTTTAACAGTACCCTTTTGCAACATATACTCCAACCTGAACGTACAAGTATATGTTCCAAATAACGAAGTAGATCTTGTGAGGAAAATTGTTTAGAGCATCTCCCTCCATTTTGACCTCCTAATCTTTTTTTAATCTTTCGCTTATTTTGTGGAGAAATGTTTTTGAATAACATCAAGACAGACATGGAGAGGTTAAAGTATCCACAATCCGTCCTCTACCGTTCCAGTCCTGAGTGATTTAAGACAAAATCTTATTCCCGAACCAACTTTATGAAGAAGGATACATTCAAAACGGGAATAGTGGATTTTAACTCAAAAAGTAAATTTATCTGAAGATACTTGATCAGAATCTACTTTTTTAACGTTAATTGAAGGATTTAACTATTCGGCTGTGCTAAAATCATTGTACTGTTTTGATGGTAGGCCGAAGCGGTTATTGTTTCAAACCTTATGTCACAGAAGTGTAGCATGGATATATCAAAGGTGAGATTCAGGTTTGATTTCATTGCAGCCTCCCACTTGTACTCCTTATCTTTTTTCTCATGATGCTTTCCCTCCCTCTCAAAAAAGAAACTTGCATATTGCCTCGCTTTGCTTCCAATGGTCGGAGGTGATGAGAACAGCTGGATCGCAATAATGCAGAAAGTTCTTATATCTATAAATATGTATCTGAATGAAGCCTTCAGAGGACTAGAGGAAGGTTTGAACTCTTTGCTGTCTAAGACGTTGTTAGAAGTCTCTATATGTGCGTTTAATTATGGTAGCTTAAGCCTCTCATTTCATGTTTCTGCAGAACACAGATCAACTGAAGTTATGAGATTGTTGGTTCCACCTGGGAAAGACCCTCCCTCTCCCTTAGGAGGTCAGTCCCTGTCGTCGTCTGTTGCCTCAAAGACAGCAGCAAGCATTCAGGAAGTGTTGGTTCCTAGGGTTTCTATGTTGATGGACTCTTGTTGTATTATGATTACCTATCCATATTCTATCCAGGTGAGGTGACTGTGTTGTCAAATATTTATGGTTTAGTCTTTTTCTTTTGGGATTTTAAGGGATTTTAAATTTTCATATGCATGTATGCGAAGATGTGAACAGTTTTCTTATTTTTCTTGCATTCAATTTTTTTTTGTATGCTACTTTTTGACAGGTGAATCTCCCTGTTCAATCCTTAATTTTGCTTGTTGAGAGGGTACTTTCTGTTGATGGTTCATTGCACGAAACTCTATCAAGCTTCACTTCTGAGCTACACCAAGAACTTCTCTGTGCTGAGCTTCCAACTTTGCATTTGAGTTCCTTGGATCTTTTGATCGCTATTGTTAAATCAATGCGAAGGTGAGGTATGCTTGGCTTACATCATTGTTGTAGTGGTTCAGAGGGCAATGAATTGAAGCTTGGTTAATTGAAAGTAAAGACTATTTTTGAAAAGCTGGAATGCCACTATGCAGTTCCACCCTTAAAGTTGATACTGCTTTTTGTTTCTCCAACTTCTTTTCTACGACAGTGGATAGAATCAGTTATATATTTCTTTACCTTGACATCTTATCAACACTTTTCAACTATTTATTTCCTCATTAAAGTCTAGTTCTCTCTGTAATGTTTTTTCATTACGTATGAGTTGCTATAAGTTTCTATTTATAATACTGATATGGATGCCCTTATTTACTCTTTCTGTTGTATACTGCTGAATGTAAAACAAGGATATCCCCTTTGCCAATATATTCTGTTTCAAATTTTCATGCCGAGTATTGATGTTGAGGGCTTTCTAGCTGGCTTACTATGATGTGTTTTGAAGTTTTGCAAATCCTAGGCTTATAAAACGCTTGATGGATTACACCAAATTGTTTTTTCTCGAAAGAAAAATGATTAGCTCTCCTACTTTAGTCACATATTCGCTCATGGTTGTTTTCGGTGTTTGTGCTTTTATATTCATTTGCATTGTTGGGCAACGAGATACACTAAGTGTATTTTATTTTTTATCTTGCAGCCAACTATTGCCATATGCTGCTAATGTTACGAGGATTCTGACTGAGTACCTTAATAGAGCCACCTTACCTTGTTTAAGGATAAAAGTTTATTCAATCATGGAGGTTTTGCTCACTACAATGGGTGTTGGTATGTGATGAACTTCATCGTCTCCAAACTGCTTGCGAATCGTCTTAGGATATCGCTATAATGCATATTTAGATATAAATTATCAATTATTGCTTAATTTTTCACCTTAGAGTAACTGATTTCTGGCGCGCATGATTGCTTATGACTTTTGGCCTCATACATCTTTTACCTGTTCTCCATTGTTTTACATCAGGTCGTGTTATATGCTCAAGTGGAAAACATTTTTCTGGTGTTCTGATTCCCAGATTCAATGGTCTGACAGAAGAAATGGGAAAAAAATCTCCCTCTATTTGATTATTTTACTTGGTTTATTCCCACGAAACAATAAAAGTAAAAACTGTGGGTCACCGCTAGTATGGATTTGATCAGATTTTTTTAAAGCATTGATATCTATTGTTTCTTGGAATGTTTATCTCTGGGCTATATTTTGTCTAGTAAGTTTTTGACAATGACTTACTAATGTTTGCCTATCTTGATGCTGATTAGTAGTGTTGTGTCCTGTGGATCAGGAATTGCCCTATACCTGGGAGAAGAAATCATCAACAACGCATTTGATGATTTGAATTGTTTTAGTGACGAGAATAGAAAAGAGTCTTCTAATCTGGATCAACCTAACGTGTTGGTACGATCTAGAGTTCACGGCAAGAGCAAGAAAAGGAAGTACGGGTCTGGTGCTCCGAAGGACCTCCAGATTGTTGTTGACCTCGGAGAGAAGTCAGTTAACAGAACACTCGGAGCTCCCCTTTCTGTTCAAATTTCAGCTCTTGAAACACTAGAAACTCTTCTTACTGTGGTAAGTACGAACATTCATTTCTGATGATCTTTACATGCATATCAGCGAATTACAGCTGCAAAGTTTACTCAAAGCTTGTATCTGGTTTTTCGAACATGTAAACGAAATTATTTTACATTCAAGGGCAGATTTTTATTTACGGAGTCACCTTCTTCTTTGAACTGACGCCATTAGCTTTCTAATATACATCCAAGGACCCTGAGTGTTTCATTTTTTAATGCTACTTTTTTTTTTCAGTGTGTAACATTACTTTTGATTGATCTCTATTTTTTTCCACTGTCTGTGCTGGGAACTTTGATATTTTTCTCGGCAAAGTAATATATCAAATAAAAAGGAACAGGATTCTATTGTTTCTATGTGCCTCGGGCATTTTAGCCTGGCTGCAATAACTCAGGTATCTGAATGTAATACATTTTTATTGAGTTACCCAATTGATTTGTTGCAAACACGCATATGGGTTCTTCAGCCTTTTCACATAATTCTTATCTTTTAAGAAATTCTGTCGGCCTGAGGCTTCTTTCTAATCTGCCGTTTTTTAACTGAAACCATAACAGGCCGGGTCATTGAAAGCAGAGTGTTGGCGACAGGATGTGGACCAGCTTCTGATTTCCGTGGCAACAGATGCTTGTTCTGTGGGACCAGACAATGAAAGAAAGAGGAGCATGCTGGAGTGGGACTCATACTATGCTTGGGCTGATTTCAAACTTGCTGCACTCCGGGCACTTTTAGCATCTCTACTCTCACATTCTCATATCCGCTCTCCATATTTTTCACAAGGTCTTGAGCTCTTCTATCGAGGTAATACTTAGCAGTTGCTCTGGAGTTTTCTTTTACTGAACATTGTGTCATAGCGATCACCTTTATGGATTTTTACGTATGTCCGCAAATTTTTGATTTCAAGATGCTCGATTAAAAAGTCAAGCGATTGAACTTCTTATAGGTCCATTAAAGTAATTCCATTAAAGTAATTAATGCGTATTAAGATAACTCTACATTTTCCCTTCTACGATATGTGGATAATGCATTCTTGGCTTTCTGATGCACCTTCAGTCTAAGTTTAAAAATATAACAACTTCATTTCCAGCGAATCAAATCAGGATTAGAAGCTACATGAAAGATTCCACTTCAAGTTCTTTTTTAAATTCCTTCAAATATAAGATTTTTTTATATTGTGGATTGAGAACACCTTCTGTCCAAAATACGGCCCTTCAGTCTTTCCATCGCATTCTCACATTTTTCGGTAGTTCATATGTATAATTTTTTTTCAGAGGGTAATTTTATGATCTAAAATAGTATACTCATGGAAGTGTGGAAGTACTTGAAAGGACATTTCTGTGACTTAGCTAAGAAGATATTTTTCCAACTAAATTTCTAATTAAAAATATGCTTAATGAGGTGTTATACAATGTGATTGTTTTTAAGTTGTTCAAACAATTATAACATCTGGTCTGCCTACTTTTGAAATGGATGATAGCTGTTGATAGGGGAAGCAGAGAGGTGGCTATGCCAAATGAATAGTTTTTTTTTGTTTTTTTTTTTTTGGGATCCGACTCCGAGTGGATTCCCTCCAACAATAGGCGTATGCCGCTTTATGTGACGAGCCCACAGTATTCTTTTGTAAAAGGCGAAAGGATAGTTCGCTCTATGCTCATCATGCGGCTGCACCAAATGAATAGTATTTAGTGATGAACCAGTTAAATTTTAACATTGCCAATTTTTCATTTTACCTTCATTTTTTGCTGAGTAATGTATCGTTGTTTTTTCTTGGGATAGGATCCTTTATTTATCTCTAAGAACTAATGAAAATTCCGTGTGGGGACTTTTTTTGTTTTTCTCCATTTGTATTCCACATTTTCCAATCAATAATTCTTGGAATGCTAACAATCTTTGATTCTTGTTCACTGATAGCATTCTTGCGGAAAAACAATTTTTTTGCAGGAAAACAGGAAATAGGAACCAAAGTTGCCACATTCTGTACACGGGCGATGCTGGCATTAGAAGTTCTCATCCATCCTCGGTCCCTTTCATTGATGGATTCTCCTACCCAGAGGGGCTCTGATTTTAATCGGATAATTAGTAATCAGCCTGGTAGCATGTTTCTTGCTGGCCGAAAGTCAATTTTTTTCCCAGATCCAAGAGAAACTCCCCAAGTCGTTGATGATTCTGCTCTGGCCAATGACGATGGCGAGCCCTATAATACCTGCTTAGATGGTCGGGAAGAAGGTTCAACCGGCGCTACTAAGGTGGATGAGCGCATGGAAGATGCTGTTAAAACCACTGGAACAATTCTAGAGCCCCAGCCAGGCATAGCCGTTGTCTTCCCCTCTCTGGCTGAAGACAAAGATGATGACGAACCGGGAAATACTCAGGAAGAACCTTCCATGAATGCTGATTCTTCTGACGGTAAGAAGATCAAATTGGTCTCAAGCGAGGAAACTGCCATGTATAAAGGGGGCGATATCCAGGGAGGTGGAGATGTTCCCCCTGAGAGTCATGTGCTTTCAACTCAGGGAATTATGAGGCTCTCCAATGATTCCCGCTCCCCTTCTCTAGATTCATTGCCAGATATTGTTGACGCTGACCCAGACTCAGACTAGGTATATTTATTTATATATATCTTCAGGTCAAGAAAGGGCTGTGTATCAGTTGAGCTTTACTTGGAGAACCCATTCTCCATGGCTATGTAAGGGCGGATAGTTCTGTCTGGGTGATCGTTTAGGGCAGGAAACGGACGATTTGAAGCACATTCTTCAACGGTGTAATTACCCTTTTTGATACTGATAGTTAGTTATCATTTTTTTGACGATCCTTTGACCCACGATTTAAAGCACATTCTTCAACAAGGTACCTCACAGTCTGATGACGTTATATTTTGGATTTTTCTCCAAACTTGGGGCTTTGAATGAAATAATTTAATATGTTCGCTTACATGAGTTTTTCTGTTGGTGTGGCGTCTGATCTCATACACACGTACACCGGCTTTGAGTTTTTTCTCTGTTGAAAGTTGTTTATTTTTCTTAATTTCCTTCTCATTTTGAGCAGATTTTCTTTTTCTCATTGCAACCTTCCTCTCACTGGAGATAAACTTGGACAGCCGGTGGTTCAAAAGATGTCAAAGCTCGAACAAAAATCATGAAAACATAATGAGAAGACAAGAATGAGACATCTCCATCAGTTGGTATTCCTCAAAGCTGAGGTTTCGTTTTGCCTGTGGTGTGGTGTTGCCCTCAGGATCAACCAATCAATCTTTGGAAGAAGATTTTCAGGGAGAGATATTTGTTCCCACATAACCCAATCCCACCACGAAGAATGCGATGGCTTGCAGGTAGATGTAAACGTAGTGGTAATTCTCGTTGTAGGCAAGATTGTAAGATGCGCATACCGAGAGGAAGACGCCCCACGCAAGCTCGTTCCAGTAGATCCTGTCAGACATTGATGATAGAATAATATCTCATTGAGCAAGATGATTAAATCATGAGGCTGGACTGATACTCAGCACCTGGGAATTAGAAGCCTGAAGGGTATAAAAAATTAGACATTAAGTGTGTTACCCGTCGTGTAAAACTGGTAATCAATGATTCTAGACTAATCCCTAGCTGAAGGAATGAGATAAGTCCTTTGATAGAAAAATTAATATATCTAACAATATTGGCCCATATTTATTACTCCTAATTGTGTTTTAATTGCACGACCTACATTCATAGAATGAAGGAAAATCAGAGTTTTATGCGTACGTGATAATCACCTGTCCCTAATCCGTTTTGGAGGATCTTCGTGTTCTCCAGATTTGGGCATTTCGTTGAGAGTATCTCCGATCTTCTTGGTGACCACCCATTCGTTGACTCTTCCAAACTCCAAAAGGCCGATCATGGTCGCTCTCATGCGATGCATCGCCATTACATTCTCGAAGAGGATCCAGAAGACGATGAGATGGATCGAGCTGCCGCCATGAGAGAACCTCCGGTGAGAATAGAGAACTGTATGCAGTGGAGGCGAATCTTACTAAGTCGCTGTGGGCTCAAACCTAGGATTCACCATGGCGTTGAAGAGGCTGATGGTTGTGGGGACGTAGATGAGGCCCCATGCGGGAATCTCGACTTCGGGAACGAAGGAAGTGATGGGGATCACCGCGCAATAGAAGACAAAGGTGAGGACGTGGCACACAACCTTCCTCACGAAGAAGAAGTTGTAGATCAAGTAGAGCTTTTTCCACGGCGAGACTTCCTGACTCATTCAGAAGGCGACGCGTGCTCACCCTCTTTTGGGTTGTCCCTCGTGATTATTGAATGCGAAACTCAGTTTCTGGATTACCAACCTTGGTCCTCAGTATTTCCAGACCCATCTTCCTGAATAGATTCGCCCCGCCGCAAGTCCACCGATGCTGCTGATCTCTGTATGATCTTAAGGTACTCGGCAATTCACTCTTCACCTACAGGAAACAGGAAGCCAGGAGAATTGACTAAGGGTATTTCCCTGGACTTGATCAGATCTCATTCCTGAGGAAAAGTCGAAGCCTAGTTGCTAATAAACATGATGCCTTGGCTAGTTCATTTCTTCTAAGGTCCATTCACATGCACACAATGCCATTGATAGAAAACACAGAAACATCAGAGCCCAAGATTATAAATTTCAAGAAGATAGCCCTCGAAAAGTAGTTTGATACCCAAGATAATAGCTGCGGATCACAACCGATTGGAACAACGGAAGAACGAAAAATTCCGACGATATTTACCTTAACATCACCAACGTATACAAATCTCCAGCCTTTAAGGCAAGCTCGGATGGATAAATCCATGTCCTCGACGGTCGTTCGATCTTCCCACCCTCCGGCTTCATTAAGAGCTGATATTCTCCAGACGCCGGCAGTCCCTTCACAGTGGAATGATACAGAAATGCCCTTTCATGCTCAAGCAATGGTCGGCCGTGCAACAGATAATGTATCCCAATTTTTTCTTATGAAACAGCGTCAATCCCACAGCCAAGAATCCAAACCATTGAAACCGAAGAAACCCTGGGCAGAAGAACCCGCTTCTTGCTCCACCTTGAAATGATAATCCAACGACATCTTTTGTATCCTCGTCATCAAGCACTCCTTGTAGTTTACTGCAAAATAGCCCGTTAGGTCTTACGTCAGCAACTCCCTATGAACGGATAATTGCTAATAGGAGTGTGAATCATGGGCACTAAGTTTTACAGAAGATAAGGTCAGAGAAGTTCAAGTAACCATCGAAACATTGAATTCAATGCAATTATACCAAAATGTAGTCGATTATCATCAAAGATGACCTTTTGAAATCATGTCAGTAAACCTTTTCAGAAAACATTGTGCATACATGGTCTTTCATAAACCTTCAAGCGAGATATCAGTATTTTTCCATCGTTGATCTTCAAAGATTCAAGAAGTTCCGACCATTTGGACAGAAATGGTCAGTGTCCTCAAATCCTTGCTGCTCAGAAATTAAATAAATCATTATGGTTACGGCCGTTACTATCATTATTATTATCATGAAGCATACCAAAATCCCAGCGTGCCTGGACAAGGGCGATCCTGGGGTTGTGGACGAGGAAAGGGACAGTCCGACGGAGGAAGTCCGGCTCGGGTCGGAAGTCGGCGTCGAAGACGGCAACAAATTCGCATCGCTGGACGTAACTCCGCCTCATCCCATTTTTCAAAGCTCCCGCCTTGTATCCCTTCCTTCCGTCTCTCAACTCGTACATGATGTTCACACCTTGGCTTGCCCAGGACTTGCATTCAAGCTCCACCATCTCCTGTATTCTCACCAAAAACACAAACGGAGTGTTTTATTTATTTCCTTTTTTGTACGATGAACAAGACCATTCAAATGGGATGCAGCTGTACGTATATTCTCAATAAATTATCTACATATTCTTACATTGAGATGAAAGAAGAGCGCTCGGGCATGTTTTTCGCAGTTGTGCTTATTTATTCTCTAGGAACATGAAGAAACTTGAAAATTTGTCGTAACTAGACGTCCCATATATCCTTTGGAATATGGCCAACGATACTGATTCCTGGTTAGTCCGACCTGGTCCGATCGGCTGAAATGGCTAGTCTGGCAAGCTTCTATGGCCGTAGTTAGCTGATTCGACCAGTCTGAACCTGACCTCTGTCTAGAACACTTAGACACATGTGGTGACCTGTCGCACAACTTGCATGAACTGGTGAACTCGCTGATTGGGCCCTAAATATCACCCAAATCACATTACGTGGCACTTAGCACTCCTAAGAATTGAGGAATATCTCACAGGGAAACTGCGCCTCCACCCTCTAGGTTTCGCCGCTTCCATAAATACCTCCAGGGTATTTTTACGATTAGGTTCTTTTACCGGGTAGCCCAGGGAATGAAACCTTTGGTTTGTTCCGCAGCGACGAAACGAGTCGCCGTCCACGTAGAGTTAACGGGAAGGGCGAGGGTAATTTTCAGCCAGTCGTACGATCTATCATTATTGTCACTGACGTCTTCCCATTCGTCGCCGGCGGCGGCCACGGGGGTCCTCCCCTTTCAGCTAATTCACCGACAGTACGCCTCAGGAGACGGTCAAAACCCGTGTGACCTGCTTTCCACGAGTCCCATGCGCACAAGCAACGTGTGCTCCAATGTTTGAATATCTCAAAACCAGGGAAGAGGTCTGGAGCTGTAGATCTCGAAACCAGGGACTCTCTCGCTCTCTCTGTATCCACAACCGGAACAAACATATTCCGGTGAACGGGCAAAAGCGGACTTCTTTAGTGATCCCCAGCGAAAACTTCATTGGATTGTGCCCTCGCCTGAGGCAGCAACTGGGTCTCTCTCCCAACCTCCCCACGAAACCAAGAAAGGGCCCGTCTAGGCGTCCATGCTTTGGTAAAAGCAACGTGGACACCTGCTCCCACATGGCTCGATTCTTCCCTCTCAGAATATAATCATAGCCTGTAAATGTGCATACTATCCGAAAATAACGGAAAAGAAACCAGTTGATTTGGACGCTACAGCTTACCCGGATCAAGTAGTCGGTGGAATCGTCGAGCACCTGGATGATGATCCGGTCAGGCGGCCAGAGGAGGCGACAGGCTGCCCCGATGGAGAGCTTGTAAACCTTAAACCACCACAATTTTTTTTCTTAATGTTCTGATTGAGACTGTTCTGGGAGAGAGAGAGAGAGAGAGAGAGAGAGAGAGAGACAGACAGACAGACAGACAGACAAACGGTGGAGTTGGAGATGGAGTTGTGAAATTTAATGTAGAGAGCAGGAGAGAGCTACATCAGCTAGAAGGTGGGACAATACCTCCTTTTCATTGTACATGGGGATCTGGATGAGGACCATAGGGAACGCTAGGTTGCCGGTCTCGGGGTCTGTCTGGAGGACCTCCCATTTCTGCTGCCTCTCCGGATTCCAGCGGAGGACCCTGACGAAGATGCTAATGGCGTTGAGGTAGACCGTCTCCGCCACCAGCATGACAGACATAGCCAGGCACACGGTCACTGCGGCACTCACCACTGGGACGACAGCCGCCGCCCTGATTTCTTCCAAGGGAACCTTGATTTCCTCTGGGAGGAAAAACTCCGCCGAGTAGAACAGGATTTCCACATCCCTT